GAGAGAGAGAGATAGTTATAGATATATATGTTTGTATGTATAGTGCAAATATTGACAGATACAGTTTACACAAATAGAATTAGCAGTATTTTCTTTGCTCTAATTATATTGTAAGAGGCTATTTATATACCTACAGCTATAATAACAACATGGTAATAATGATTATTATTGTTATAATTAAATGGATTAATTACATTTAAAATGAAATTATTAAAATCATAAATTTATGCTGCCTTCATATACCTAAAGCCCCGACACCTAACACTAACCATATTAAATATGCTGACCAGTAAAAGTATAAAAAATATATATATATATATTTTTTGCCCCAAACTTGAATTCAAGCTTATACTTCAGCTTGAATTTAACAATTTAATTTACTTTTTTTAACACGTTAAAACATAGCAGCTGTGTGAGAGCGTGTGTGACTGCCCTTGTAAATGTAGTCAGTAAAAGCTATAATTAGGCTGTGTAAATAGTCAGCTGTCTCAAGAAGGGAGACACTCTGAATTTAAGAGCGGTACAATTCCATTACTGTGACTGACGGTCACATCTGAGAGAACAGTATAGATGCCTGCCACCTTTTTCTCAACACAGACACACCTATTGGCCCTCAAATAATACCCTTTTGACTGTGGCCCAAATCATCAGGAAACTCTATAGGGCAAAATTAAAACTTATATTATACTAACAGTGACATTTTTTCAGAACATATCAAATTTCGCTGATCTATAGCTGTAGTATTAGTAAATATAAAATAAATTACTTGACTTGAATGCTTCTTCCTCTCCCTACTTTATTGGTGCTGCCTTGCAAAGCAGTTCAAAAAGAGGCATTGATTTTATTTGAACAAGAGAGGATGTGGTGGTACAAACTGACAGGCAGGTTTGAAAGTACAGGATGACAAAAACCTTTTACAGTCGTCACTTTTTAGATCAATGACAGTTTCAGGGAGTGCGTGACTATTAAAAAAATAATGTTGCAATTAGCTTTGCTCCGTGTCATATTAAACAAATATAAACATAAATTATCTTGGACAAGTGATATGTGCCTGAGAGGCTGTTTTTGTGCCAATCATCGCATCAATACAAGGCTCTTGATTCTACCGTTTGTTTTTTATTTGGCACAACATGAAAGAGTATCTCAACATGCCACGCTGAACTACAGCAATATATTTTGTCAGTCATCATGGGAAAATATAGTTGTGAAACCAGACCTACATCTCATCAGTCATTTCTTTAAATAAAGTAATACCATTCCAGGTGAACAACACCAGACTGGAAGATTTTGTTACAAACCCTTTCTCCCTTTTTACATTGATTGTCTCATTAAAGCATTGCAATCTTGTCTTCTGCCTCATGTGTTCATTCTTTGTCACACTGGCAGAGTCATGGAGCCAACTCTGAGACTAACAGTTGTCAAATAACTCAGCATTTATATTTAGCTGCTCGTGAAATTACATGAGATGTAAAAAAAAAAAAACCTCTGCAGTTAACACTTAAGGCAACAGGTGACTCACACAAGAATTCTTGTGAGGGGCTGAATAGCCCCATGCTAATAATAAGCCACTGATCAGCAAAAGTGTTTTATTTATTTTTTCAGAATACAAAATATATTTTTACATAAACATTGTTATATTAGGTTTCTTTAAAATATATAATAAATAATAATATTCATCTTTTTTTTCCCCCCAGAAATCAACTGCTCTTACTTCAGACACTTCACACCAGGGGAAGATTCTGAGATCTTTGAAGTTAAAACTCAAAGAGGTGAGTTCATAGTCAAACCAATACTAGCCTGAACTGACTTTACATTTTATTGTATTGGTTGGATAATGCTTTTGTGCACCATTACTTCTGCTATATGTACTTTAAAGGGTGATGAAATGGGAAAGAGTCATAGGTATAGTGGACAGTTATCCACAAACTAAATTAAATGTTTATAAAGACTTCTAAGACGGAGCTCTGAAGCATGATATATTATCATATTATATTTGAAAATCATTGTCATTGACATGTAGCTCTTGCTGATTTCTCTACTCAGAATACAACATCTCAGCAGCTGCCATAGCCATCTTCAGTCTTGTCTTCATGATTCTGGGCACATTGTGTGTGTTGGGTTCCCTCAGAAAGGGAAAGGACTATCTGTTCAAGCCTGCCGGCATGTTCTTTGCTTTTGCAGGTAGTATGGAACATCTAATCCTTCTCTTACAAATAATTTACATTACACACTGCATTTTAGAAAATTACCTTACCGAAAAAAGTATTTGGACACTTGTTTGAATTGATAACAATCAACATTTATTTTAAGGAAAGATAGCACAAATACACTTTGCAGTTAAAACATTTCACAAAAGAAACAAGAAAGTACTTTTGAGGCCACTGTGCATTGATTTTCATGTCTTTTCTGTCCTCAGGTCTGTGTGCTATCATCTCAGTAGAGGTAATGCGTCAGTCAGTCAAGAGGATGATAGAAAGTGAGGACACTATCTGGATCGAGTATTACTATTCCTGGTCTTTTGCGTGTGCGTGCACGGGTTTTGTCCTGCTCCTCCTCAGTGGAATTGGTCTGCTGCTCGTCTCCATGCCACAGATGCCTAGAAATCCCTGGGAAACCTGCATGGATGCTGAGCCCGAACAGATATAGAGCAGGAATTCCAGATGCCAGCAGGTAAACCATTGTCTCACAATATATCTAGACCTCTTTGATACAATGTCAGAGCTTGACAAGCAGAGGTCATAAAATTAGCTCAGTAACTTCCTTTTTTCCCCCTTGCATACTGGCACTGAAGAATGTAGATGTATAACACACCCTTTTACATCAGACCATGCCAGCAAGTAGCCAAGCTTTTTGATCTTTATATTATTATTATTTACATATATGTAACATTTCACATCACAATGTATTAAATCTTGGAAATGTAATATGAAGAGTGCAGCTGGCTTTATGTTGCTAGAACTTTGTGTAATTATGCTGTACATTAACAGACATACAGGGAAAGTTTACGACTCTGGGATGGTTTAAATGGAGAAGGGTTGCAGAAGAATTGTGATTGTGAGCATATTGAAAGATTGAAAAGATTATTAACATCTGACTAATATTTTGATGATTATGTATTTGGAAAAGTTCATCTGCACTAATTTGCAGATAGTAAATAATAAGAAAATAAATCTCAATATGCAGTGGTGTAATGCCACAAGATTTTGCTCCAGAAAGCATAATTCAGGTCCTGTAAATGGGTTTATTTTTATTTTATTTTTTAAGATGTGTGAATGCTACTTTGGTTTTATTAATAGTCATTTTAACAATAATTCTCTTTTGCCTGGGCACAGTGATGTTCTCAACTGCCCTAAACAGAATGTAAATGTTTGGTCTGCTGTGGTTACTGAATGCTTGGCCAGACATTTTGGAATAATTTCAGATCTTGCAGGTGCAAAGAAAATGGCATCAATCTCACTCTTATGTGAAACAGTAAAACTTTCCAAGTTTACAGCTTCCTGAAATGAACCCACAAACTGTGTTTACAAGCTTGAAATGGAATGGCGTGCTCATTATTTTTTGAGAAGAATGTGCTTCTGTGATTTATAATTTAGGACCCTCTCAGGAATTGTGGTAATTTTTGGGTCTGCACAAGCCTGGTTTATCTATGTATCAAGCTGTAACCTGTATATCAGAACAAACCTGCACCCAAACTGCCCTGTAAAAAAAGATCTTAATATTAAATTTACTGTCTATTTAAATTCATCAGGCTTTTGGAAATTAATTGAAACATTATAGAACTTTTTAATCTGGTTCCTCAACAAACTCTTTTATAAAGTTGGCAATAGGATTTAGAGTGGTGGGGATCAATGTCACTGACAAAACACCAACAGGGTGTCAGATCCATAGCCTTGTGGGAAGTGTTAGGGCAACCAAAGTTTGAGTCCCTGCTTGTGGTCCTTTCCTGATCATGTTCCTCTCACTTCTCTCCTATCACTTTCTGTCATTGCTCTGAAGTAACAAAAAAAACAAACAAACAAAAAAAAAAACACCAGCTGGGTGAGCATACTGATAACAAAAAGCAAAAACTGTTTTTTTTTTTTTTTTAGAGTTTGTAGTGGCAGTTTGAATTGGTTTTTCAATGTCCTTTTACCACATTCTATGGAAAATTCATAAAAGCCATGTTTAATTTGACAGATAAAGCTTTGTAATTATTTCCTTTGATGTTGTTTGCATGCAGAACAAGAGACCATGGGTGTTTGGATCGTGTTATGCTGCCCAACGGAATAAATGTATTTCTGGTCTTACAACCCTATGTCATGTATTTCTAATAAAAAAAATAAGCTAGCTCCCATGTTCACATCGACGTTTATTCTGCCTCTTTTACTGTGATTTATTCAAAAGTGGCATAAAAAGATTGAGAGCTACAAAATTGATTTCATGTACACCTGCATCAGAGGTATTGATGTATTTAGATTGAATTGCATTTACTGTATTTATGTAGCTATTTTATAGTTTTACTACATAATATTATCTAGGTGTAGTTTAACAGTCATAATTTAGGTTTCCTCCATTTTGTGAATGACAGCTGTAGCTGTCTGATCTGCATGCTAATTATTTTCTTTCATTAAGAACTGTATGAACCACTTATGTTTACCATTCATTTTACCACTTCATAAATCTGATGTCAGTTAAAAGAAAAAAAAAAAACATTTGTCAACCAATCATACATACTGTATGTATACTAAAGCAAAATTAACCAGTGAATACTTACAAATTAAATATTATTTCATAGTATGTGATGATGTATCTACTGTCTGTAAGTGTCTCAAATGTCTTTTACTCTGGTGAGTCTTAAATTTCTTTTAATGCCATTTTATGCCATTTTCCTGGCACATTTCAGAGTGAATAGAGTTTTGGTAAAGAAAGCTTGACAGTACTGGTCAAAGTCAAGTCACCTTTATAAATATAGTGCTTTATACAAAAGAGATAATTTCAAAGCTGCTTCACAGTAACAAACAGGGAAGTAACAGAATGAGTGACGCCAATATCATCGAACATAAGATAAATCAAAATTCTGTTATAAAGTAGGTATAAATAGACAATAGTGTCATTATTCAGCTCCATTCAGTTCAGTGTTGATTCAGTTCAGTTCAATATCTGTGTAAAGATCATTAATTATATAACATATAATATATAATATATAACAAGTTCAATTCAGTGATAAGCAGCTCAGTTGAAGACAGTAGTGCAATTATTTAGCTCCAGTCAGTTCAATGTTGATTCAGTTCAGTTCTACCAGAAAGACTCAGAGACAGGGTTGCCAGGTTTTCACAACAAAACCTGCCCAATTGCTACTCAAAACTAGCCCAATGGTGTTTCGAGGTGGCTCCCCCGCTTCGTGGGGTAAAATTCACGTTTTTTGGCAGGGCTGCTCTGGTAAAATTCGCATTCCAGTGGCAAAATGTCACGTTCTTAGGGTCGCTTCAACCTGCGGCAACAGTGTTAAAGTAGCCCAATTCCGTGGGAAAACCGCGGACTTGGCAACACTGTTGATTCAGTTCAGTTCAATATCTGTGTAAAGATCATCAATTATAAAACAAGTTAAATTCAGTGATAAGCAGCTCAGTTGAAGACAGTAGTGCAATTATTTAGCTCCAGTCAGTTCAATGTTGATTCAGTTCAGTTCTACCAGAAAGACTCAGAGACAGGGTTGCCAGGTTTTCACAACAAAACCTGCCCAATTGCTACTCAAAACTAGCCCAATGGTGTTTCGAGGTGGCTCCCCCGCTTCGTGGGGTAAAATTCACGTTTTTTGGCAGGGCTGCTCTGGTAAAATTCGCATTCCAGTGGCAAAATGTCACGTTCTTAGGGTCGCTTCAACCTGCGGCAACAGTGTTAAAGTAGCCCAATTCCGTGGGAAAACCGCGGACTTGGCAACACTGCTCAGAGGGCAGGTGAACATCTATGTGATATTTATTCCACAAAGAATGAACAGATGTTAGCAAGCTACAATGATTCATGTCTAGGTGTATGGAAAAGTTCTTTGGCGTAGGCCCTGCCCTTTCCAAATTCTGGGCATATATCAGGATATTAATGTAGCAATTGCTGTGTTTGTCCTGAAAGGCTGCAAAACTCCTTAGAAAATTATTTAATAGTTGATATAGTTATGTCATGTCATATATAATATATTTATTTTTTATTTTACATAATGATTTTTCCCCCCACATTTGAGTGCATAAAGCAATGACGCTTTATGTCATATTATAAATGTGAGATGTCATTCTCAAGAGAGATGCACAATGCACCACATCAGTTGTCCCAGCTACAGACATATCTTTACAAGGGTAATGCTGTTATCTTTTTTATGTAGCGCTCAGGGGATTCGCTGGAATCAAGGCTCTAGGGAGATTTCTGAGGTCCTTTTAGACTTTGGGGACGCCAGCTGGGCTGAGGTAGGAACAGAGGAGTCCTATAAGCAGATTTTTCCACTAGAACTTGAAGATGATTTCTATCAACAGAACTTACATACATTATTCATTGGCATTATAGCCTACACACTGTCATAATTTAACTTCAGTCAAAATTAAAATTATAAAATTATATTGGAAATTATCATTGATTTCTCATTGGTTTGTTGTTAGACCTCTGCAAATGATTCAGAATGCAGCAGCACATCTTGTTTTCAATGAGCCCGTCACACCGATTCTCATCTCTCTGCACTGGCTTCCAGTCGTGGCTCGCATCAAGTTCAAGACATTGATGCTGGCCTACAGAACAGCCACGGGCTCTGCACCCTCCTATCTCCACTCACTCTTACAAGTCTACATCTCCTCCAGAAGCCTGTGGTCAGGAAATGAGCGGCACCTCGGCAAGGAATACAACAACAATCTCTTGTTGTATTCCTCAACTGTAAGTCGCTTTGGATAAAAGTGTCTGCCAAATGAATAAATGTAAATGTTAGGCTACAGTACAAGAACATCTTTACTGTATATTTCATATTAGCTGATTATTCTCAACATGCACAACATTCAGATTTCTCTCATGTTTCCAACTCATTTGATAGATGATTCAGGTTGTGAGTGCTACAAGAAAAATCAACACTCATGTACTCATCAATCATGTGCACATTAAACTATGCCAGAAACATTCTTTCAATTAATGAGTAACAGCGGATGAAAGGGAGATAAAATTTGGGTTAGATTTATTCCATATAGACTAGGATCCAAAAATTTATATAAAAAGTTTCACAAAAAAAAAAAAGAATAATATCAAAAATTTAAGTTTGAACTTGCTACTGTTGGTCAGGGCAATGTGGCTGTCATCTGGAGTCCAAATTACATTATAGTGCCATCCCAAAGAGGCACAAAATCACTTTCACAGACTTTCACCTTAACTGTTCCCTGCTGGTGGAATGACCTGCCAATTCGATCCAAGCAGCTTCTTAAGAGTCTTTAGCCATCGTCAAGAAATGTTGCTAACACCAGCACTCTCTATTATGTTTTTTTCTACGTACTTGTTTTCTTTTTATTTATTAAATGTTTTTCTAACATTAGTTTTCTCTATTCTTTTACTATTACTTGTGTTTTTTCTTATTTATTACAAAAAATAATAATAATTTGACCCTCTAAAACTAGCTCTTTATTCAGTTTCTGTTCTATCTACTTTTTATTCTTTTAATTTATTATATATATATATATATATATATATATATATATAAATATATAAACTGTGTCAGACTAACCGGGATTTGTCACAGCACTGACATATTGTTGCTCATTTTCATTGCTTCTATTGTCCTCATTTGTAAGTCGCTTGGATAAAAATGTCTGTGAAATGATTAAATTTAAATGTAATGTAAATGTAAATTGTGTGCATGTCTTGAAACTAGAAATCCACAAAGCTGATTTGCAAATGCACATGAAGTGATTCACAAATGTGTGCTGTGATCCTCAAATGCACATATGAGGGAAAACGCTCTCATGAGCATCAGTTGTCCCCCTGCAAAAGTCCTTAACGGTTTGCGTGGGTCTATGGCAGAGAATATCCTGACCTCCTTTAGAGCATAAAAAATTTATTTTTATGTGTGGAAGTGGAGGAGTGTTTCCTAAAATCAACATAAATCCGAGTTCCTCTGAAATAACATCACAGATGGCAAATGGCAGTCGACACAATTTCAATTGAACATGCTAAACATCAAGACACACTTTGTTGTGCTGGACTTTGACAGATGTAGAAGTGGAAGAAAGTGCAATACTATTAATTTCCAAACGCAAAAAAAAAAAAAAAAAATTAAAAGATATCATTGGCTCACCTGGAGCTTGTACAAAAGAGTTGCAGATAGTGCAAGCATAACCAACTTAGTCACCAATATGTTGTATATTTCCTTTAAAAAAAGATCAATCATAAAGGAAGGACATAAAAGCTCATGCAGATAGTATCTCCATTCTTTTACACAATTTCTCTCTCCTCTCTCGCTCCTCATTTATGGAACAAATCATCCTATACTCCCACCTAGTGGCATAAAGTTGCGTTTACCACTGAAGTCCATTTTAGGTGCAGATTGTGGTATAAACTGTGGAAAGAAAAATGTACAGGTAGATGTTTTCGAAAAACCCACGATAAAGAAATTAGGTCATGTGGCATCTATAGAACATGAGCCAAGTAATCTGAAGATATGATTTTGTGACTCATGGTTTCTGAAATATAACAAAAACATTTAATTCTACCTTTATTGATTGATTGATTGATTGATTGATTGATTGTGTAGTGTTTGGACCAGTCAGACACATAATTATTCATTATATTTAAGGAATAATCCAGTAAACCCCCTCACCCAAAAAAAAAACTCTGTGTTAGAGTTCTGTGAACAACCCCCAAAGAGCAACTAACACCCCAAAAAGGCAGAACAGGCCTCTGTTTACCATGGCAAGCAATGACAAATTATCTGATAACACTGGTTTTATTGCTCAATCTAGATTAAAGACCCATCTCTTTAACCTGGCATACACATAACACACTATCACATTTCTATAATTCAAATCTGTTAAAGGATTGTTAGGCTGCATTAATTAGGTCAACCCGAACCGGGAACACTTCCCATAACATTCGATACTCGTTACATTGTAAGAAGAATGGCATCTACGCTAATATTAGTCTCTTTCATTCTTATTTTGAGGTCACCATAGCTACCCAGATCCAGTCCGTATCCAGTCCAGATGGTGGATCAGCACCGAGAGACGACCTCTACAGCCCTGAATGTCAGCGGAGACCATGTCAACTAGATGCGCCCCAGAGACAGATCCTC